TCTACTCTGTCCTGTAGGGTCACTATGAGTCAGAATCAGTTTGATGGCAGTAGGTTTGTTTGTTTTAGTTTTATGATGACACAGCTTAAAAGAGAGAAATTAGGGTGAAAACTCTATTGACTTTTTCTCCCTCCTAGCTCTGGTGTGCCTAAGGCATTTGACTGCTAACCAGAAATCTGGCATTTCAAACCCACCAGCCACTCCTTGGAAGGAAGGTTGGGCAATCTACTTCCATAGTGATACTGCCTGGAAACCCAAGAAGGGGTTGCTGTGAGTCGGGTTCGACTTGGCAGCAGTGAGCTTGGTTTTTTTGGTAGTAGGCATAAAGGCAAATGATTACCTGTTTACTCACCAAAACCTATAAAAGAAAACAAGTAAAATACATAAAGGGTATGTATGATGGCCAATCAACTTTTTATTATGGTTATATATCAATGCCTTTATTAAATGAGATGGAGCAAAAAAGAAAGAAAAAAAGGACAATTCATGTTTTTGAGCACAATGAAATGTTATATTTCTATGATTCTCATTGATATGTTTGTGAAACTATCTTCTCTTCCAACCACATGTAACATTTGAATTATTTTCTCAAACAGTTTAAACAATGTTGTGAACTGAGTTGTATCCCTCAAAATATGTGTCAAGTTGGCTAGGCCATGATTCACAGTATTGTGTGGTGGTTCTCCATTTTGTGATCTGATGTAGTTATCCTCCATTTGTGATATATTTCAATCTTAACTTCTGTGTGTTAATGAGGCAACATCTGTGTGGAGTGTATCTGCAGTCACAGCCTTACAAGAGGGCAGGACTAAAGTTCCACCTTTACTCAAGTCACCAGTCTTACTCAAGTCACCTTACTTAAGTCACACTTTTTATCTTACAAAATATAAAAGGAGAGAAAAGCTAGCGGAGAAGAGGAGGACCTCACTACTACCAGAAAGAATAGCTGGGAGTGGAGCATGCCCTTTGACCCTGAAGTCCCTCTGCTGAGAACCTCCTATACCCAGGGGAAGATTAATGCCAAGACACATAGAGCTCGCCAAGGAACCAGAAGGCAGAAGCTGAAGAGACAAAGACCTTTCTCCAGAGCTGATAGTGAGAGAAAGACTTACCCCTAGAGCCAATGCTCTGAATTTGGACTTCTGGCCTCCTAAATTTTGAGAAAATAAGTTTCTGTGTGTTAAAGCCATCCACTGCTGTATTTCTGTTATAGTAGCAGTAGATAACTAAGACAACAAACTTATGTGAGTGCGCATTATCCCTGCATCTTATTAGCAATTCTTTTTGCCTGTTACATTTTATTCTATAATGCATATTATTCTAGAACTCAGTTTTTAAAATTCAATTATGAAGATTATTTGGGAATAAGAGACCAAGTTTGTGTGTGTATGTGTGTGTACATATATGTGTGTGTGTGTGTGTGTGTATTCAGTGTATTGATAGTTTCCTATCCACAAACTTTACCTGCAACTTCTCAATGCAAATTGACTTTTCTGTGTGCCAGATTTCAAAAGCAGTGAGAAGTGACCAAATTGTACTTTTATTCTGCAACTCTGATGGGAAGGTTAGGGCCCTCACACAGTGATGCATCAGGTATAAAACAAGAGGGAAAACCAGATTACTGTTAAAATTTTCACACACAGCCTTTCTTTTTCTTGGCAGATTGATTCATTGCTTACAGCAATTTCTGACTTTATAGACTAAACATTTTTAATTGGTAAATGGATGGTTTGGTCTGAGGTGGTGACTCAGGATATAAACGTTGTAATTTGGGTAATTGTCTGTGAGTGGATGGCAGAATACTGTTTACTAGCCTTCCTTTTGTCTTTGAGGAAAGAATGAAAGTTAATAAACATATTTTACCCTTTACAGAAGCTAAATATTTATACTGTCATAGAGAAAGCAATGAGATAGAGTAATATTTGCCATGTTTATTTGTACAAAGGAGCTCTGGTGGCGCAGTGCCCAAGGCATTTGACTGCTAAACAGAAGGGTGGTGGTTCAAATTCACCAGCCCCTCTGTGGAAGGAAGACTGGGCAATCTACTTCTGTAAAGATTTACCACCTCAGAAACCCCATAGAGGTCGCTATGAGTTGGAATTGACTTGATGGCAGTGGGTTTTTTTTTTTTTTTTTGGTATTTGTTACAAGCAAATGTATGAAAGGTTTTCTCTTTTTGATGGATGAGGAAAAGACTAGTAGTATGTTGTTGTTGTTGTTGTTGTTAGGTACCATGAAGTTGATTCTGACTCATAGGGACCCCATCTGACAGAGTAGACTGCCCCATGGGATTTTCTAGGCTGTAACCTTTATGGGAGCAGATTGCCAGGTATTTCTCCTGAAAAATCTCTGTGTAGGTTCAAACCACTAACCTTTTGGTTTGCAGGTGGATACTTACCCACTGTGCCAGCAGGGCTCCATAGCAATACATTACATGTGTTCAGTTGTAAAATGGAGATAATAAAAGTCTTTACTTCTTAGGTAAATCATTGTGAGGTTAAATAGATGACTCACCTAAAGAGCTTAGCACTGTGCCTGGCACCTAGTAGACAGTCAGGAAATGTTAGTTTTTATTGTTTATTTCCATAGTTATTATTATTTTTAACTTATTCCTGTTGAATGGAACAACTTCTTTAGTTATATAATGTTAAGCTTCTGATATTACAACTTCATGATTGTTAGCCTGAGAGAAACATCAATAATATGAATTAATTTATAAATCATTATTTGCTTTATATGTTGGAATCATTTATTGATTATTGAAATCCAGTTTTAAGAGTTTTAAAGCCTTTTCTCCTGTACTGTCTTTTAATTATCCTCCAAAATCATGACTTTTTGTAAAATTCAAAATCAAGCATTTTCTTTCATTTTAGCTGGTGTAGGGTCAGAGACCAATAACTTGTCATAATATAACTGTCAAAAAAGACAGTTAAGTTTGCCCATCTAAGAATCTTAAAGAATTTAATACTTCCTCTATTGATCTTTCTTCTCCATTTCTTGATAGGATACATTATTTCCTAAGATAAGCTTTTTGTTGTCATTGTTTATTATGTGTTTGTTTTAAGATAGACTTACCTCTTCATACCACAAGATTATTATTCAATAAATTTGAATTAAAAGAATTTAAAAATGGTGACCTTATGGTGTGAAAAATTAGCTCTGAACCAAGAAATGACTGTTTTGGCCATATAATTTGGCTTTTGTCACTAGTTTCACTGGTTTATCAACAAATAGGTTAATGCTTATTTTATTTTAATTTGTAAATGGATCAGCTATTTCTAATACCATGTTCATTTAGATGACATTGCTAACAAATAAGCTTTTCCTTCTTGCTGAGCACTAAGTTCGCAGAGAGCAAGAAATATAATTTGATTCCCAGGCACATGCCATTACAACAGTTGCATGCCATAGCCTGGTGTAGCGCCTGCACATAGTAGGTACTCAGTAAATGCCTGCAGAGGCGTCTCATGAATATCTCGTAGATGGAACTCACGTAGAGTCTTATATTTGACGTAACTAAACTGAACTCAAAGCTTCCTCTCCCCAGAGCTGCCACTTCTGTGCCTCCCGTCTCAATGAGAGGCTCACCGTCCACGCAAGGGCTAAATCAGGAGTCCCTTAATCCTACATGTAATCACCAAGTCCTATTGATTCCAACTTCTAAAAGCACCCCAGATTCATTCAATTCTCTGGAGCCCCAATGCTACTTTCTTAGTTCAGCCACGGTCATATCTCATCTGATCTCTCCCTACTAGTTTTCCCACCAGTTTTCTCCTCCTCTGCAGCCAGAGTAATCTTTCTAATGTCAGTCTGCACTCTTTAAGTCAAACCAGTTGTCCTTTGATACCCTCCAATTTATGGTGAACTCCGCGTGTGCCAGAGTAGAATTGTGCTCCATAGGGTTTTCAATGGCTGATTTTTCAGAAGTTCCCATCCTGGGACTCCACATCCTTAACTAGTTCCTTGTTATCCTTGAATGAAGTTCATTCATATAGTTCATTATGACTTTATAAAGCTCATTATGCTATGCTCTGATTTCTCCAGCTGTCTTCATTCTCTTACCATGAATTAATTGAAGCTCTCTAAATGTGCCTGGTCTTCCCTTGTCTCTGGACCTTTGCACATGCAATTCCCTCTACCTGCAATATTGTTCACCCTCTTTTTCTACTTCCTTTTTGCCTAAATCATTTCCAGGATTCTAAATATGTTGTTATTTGCTTCTCCAGTATGGTCTCCCTCTCAATAATACCACATTCATTTTTCTCAAGTACCATTCTGTAGACAGTTTTATATTAATTTTGTTTTCATCTATTAGAAAAGAAAAAAAATCTGTAAAATTGCTGGTTTCATTTCTATTCAGCAGATGAAGAAACTAGAGCACTAAATGTCAGAAATCTGTGTCAAGACTACTCAATTATAAGCACCTTAATGGGTAAGGATGGATCTAGTTCTCTACTTCGTGTCCAGGTTTTGTACAGTACCTATAATAGAGTAGGCAGTCAGTGCACGTTGAGTGAATTATTGAATGAATCTCACTTTGAGCCTGAGGTTCCTCTCTCTTGAGTCAATGGAGCTTCTGTTTCATCATTTGTCCTCCAGGACAAGTGAGGCCAGATTTTTCTGCATGTGCTCTTCTTCCAAAGGGAAGCTATGTCTGGTGAGGGAGTCTGGAAGCCTGTGTTGCTCTGAGTTGTTCTGATGCATTTCTTTAATGGTGGCTGGCATGGATGAGAAGGGCTTTTGTTGTGGTGGCAATTAAAGATGATTTGCACATTTTAGCAATTTATAAAACTTTAGGCACCCTGCACAGCATAAAAAACTCCTCTCTTTCCTGAACCATGAAATGTAGTGACCTCTTCATTTAAATACATGGCTTGTTATGCATATTTCAGCCTTAGTGACAACTGGTACCCAATGGTTGCTGGATTGAGAATTCTGTTTGGGTCATTTCAATGCATTGGTAATTTGGATCTCTTTTTTTTTTTTTTTTTTGTAGGTTATTTTTCAGGGGGAAAAAAATGGTTATTTCTTCAAACTCATGCCTGGGCTTCATTTGTTTACTGTTATGCCAGTGGATTGGAACCACCTCTTCTCTGAATCTTGAAGACCCTAATGTGTGTAGCCACTGGGAAAGGTAATAATTTTGAAAGCAGCCTGAAAAATAACTTCTGATAAGTTCTTTTGCATAACGTCATTAGTAATCTGATGTAGAAAATTAGAACTTGAGAAGAGATTGTGAAATTTCTTTTATGTAATAATCATTAGCTATAGCTTATAAAAGGAGCTCTGGTAGCATAGTGCCTAAGGTACTTGACTGGTAACCAGAAGGCTGGCAGTTCAAACCCACCAGCCACTCCTCGGAAGGAAGATGGGGCAATCTACTTCCATAGTGATACTGCCTCGGAAACCCAAGGAGGGGTCGCTATGAGTCTGGTCCGACTCGATGGCACACAACAACAAAAACAACATAGCTTATAAATTGGAGAGTATTACTCACATTGGTCTTATGTTAAAAAAGGAAAAACAAACAAACAAAAAAAAACCAAAAACGTATCTGATTCTAACACCAGTGCAGTTGTCAAATCCAGGGAAAACACTGATAGCTGAATTAAAATGATCTCCCTAAAGTCTTCTCCCTGCTCTTAATCTATTTACAGTTATTTGGGGAAGCTGGACTTATGCATGGGAACCAATGATTGAACAGTGGAAGGCAGCATGGAGTAATGTGCTTAACTAACATGTTGAACTGTATGGAATAAAAGAAATGGTGCTATAGGTGGCCTTGAAAGGGAGAAATGATTCTGCCTGGTGGGCAAGGCTGCATGAAGATAGTGCGACCTGAGGTGCTGGTTTCAAGTGATTGGGAGAGGTTTAAGGAAACAGAATAACTTGAAACCAGTGCCATGCAGACCACCAAGGGCTATGGTCAAGAAGAACAGAGTCATACAATACAATAAGGAAAGATTGTATAGATTCTGTGAAAACAGACAATGTAGTGATTAGATCTGGGCAAATTGCAGTAGCACATACAGGAAAGAACAAAACAACATGTCTCCCCTTAGGGATCTTGTAGTCCTACCTGGAACACAGAAATAGCAAAGACTATAAAATGTTACTATAGTATAATCAAGTACAGTCTGCTCTGCTCTAATGTGTACTTGTATTCCTAAGTCATTATCTTTGTAAATTCAAGTGTTTCAAAAAAATTGAAGTTGCTAAGTGCTATAGAGTAATATGTATTTTCTAATAGCGATGAGTGTAATTACATCGAGCTCTTTGTCTCTTTTTCCTATCACCTCTACACCATAATTAGCACACCAGAGTACATATTCTAATCACCTTTGTCACCCACTGTTGTTGTTGTTAGGTGCCGTCGAGCCCACTGCTGTTAGGATGCACAAAGCCCAGAGCTTCTCTTACCCAGTACCTATATTATTCTAAGGGCATGCTGGCCTCTCACTCACAGCCTTATACTTTGGTAAGAGCTCAATCCCATCTCCAGTCAGGGTAACAAAAACCTAATTCCCTGATTGATCGATGAGTTAATACAACATTATGAAACCTAGACTATAGAGAAAATATGTGTATGTAAAAACATGTATATATTTGTGGTATTAACTAGATCATACAAAGTTAAGGGTTGGGATCTAGATATAAATTGTCTTTATAATTAAGCACCCACATATAACATTTCACCAAGGAAGTCTTCATAAATATTTATTAAGATATTAGATGTGGAAAAAGGAATATGTGAATAGGTATATATCAAACTTAGAAAATGGAGAGACCATTGGTGGTTGATCTTGGAGAATGATAACTGTGGCATAGCAGGAAAAGTCAAATCTTTGAAATACTGTGAAATAAAAATTAATATATCATGGTGCTACATTGACCATCAGACATGAAGGAGGCAGAGAAGGCTGAGGTCTGGAACCTGCTGTGTCAACGAGTGGAGGTGTCAGTGCACATGTGGAAAAATGAAAGGAAGAGAGTTGATTTGAGAGGAAAAAGGATTAGCATGGTTTGGCTATGTTGCATTTATAAAATCAGTTTGAAATATGAGCCTAGAAGTGTATGGGGATATAAACTTTGGGATCTCCAGCATGATAAAATGTGAATAGATAAACTCCCTGAGGGAGACTCTACAGAGAAAAGAATCCAAGGTTCCAAGTAATCTAGTACCCACTTGTAATTACACATTTTATCATTATTCATCACTCAGTATTTTACCAAACCTGGTAAAACATAATCACATTGCTTTGTTCACCACCAGTAATCCCCAGTGTCTCGAACACTGTCTTTCACATGGCATGTGTTCAGTAAATAATTGTTTAATGAGTGAGACCATCTTCTGATAGGAAATGAAATGAACAAAAATGCTTATCATGGGGAGAGAGACAGAGACAGACAGACAAGGACTGATTAATCTCTAAACCTGGTAATAATTCCACAGTTGCACAAGTGATTAGAGTAACCTGTAAAATCATCATTAACTAACTATTGACAAATAAGAAAGTGATGGAAGGTTTTCTTCCCCCTGTGGTTATTTATACAATCTCTTATTGATAAATTTCCCATTATATGGTTAGACAAAAGTTTTCGAAGAGAGGTGAAAGGGAGTGGGATTGTTTTGACAAGATGGAGAAAGGAAGAACAAAATATATTTATAATGATCAAATAGAGGTACAGGTTACAAGTTCTCTGTTTTCAGAATTGAAATGAGCTTGAGTTGAAATGGGGAGATGAAGATTAGCTCCATGGACACAATTCTTGTTAGTAGGGCTCATTCTAGGTGTTCCTGATACTAAAAGCCACCTGTATCCTGTGAGCCATGGACTTATCTCTCTGAATATGTTCTGTAGCGTCTCAGCATCAGCATCACCTGGGACTTGATAGAAACATGGGCTCTCAGGCCCTTCCCCTGCCTGCTGAATCACAATCTTCATTTTAACAAGATCTTTAGGTGATTGATTTATCTGCACATACAAGTTTGAGAAGCACTGAACTAAACTGCTTGTCAGTGCTTTCTAGGTGCATCCCCCATTCCTATCTGAATGCTTACAGATAAAGGCATGCCTTGTTTTAGTACAGCAATTGTGATTCCAAGAGTTACACATAAAATGAAATTAAAGAAAATTAAATCATTTAAAATACACAAGAGTTTTTGTTATTAAAGGAATTCTGCAGAGAAAGAATCCTTGTGCATGATGAATAATTCTATGAATAATCAGCCCCTTCTCCACAGTCCCTTTCCCTGTTCTGTGAATTGAAGCTTTTCCACCTATCAGGGGTTCTTCCAAAGAAGGCACAAATGGAGGGAAGCTACTCTGTGTCCAACCCTCTGGGGATAGAACACAGTAGTGATAGTAATTGAACCAGCAGTCCTGAAGTGAGCAAAGATAAGGAATGATGATTATTACCATATCTGATTAAAGTAACAAGATAATTTAGCAGATCAATGTAATTAACCACTTTGGAATATGTCCAAGTGATAATAGCCGCCTTCTTTTTTTTTTTTTTCCTCTCTACCTTCAATTAAATTTTGCTGGGGTTTCTCTCCAGCTAATACTTAGGTTAAAATCACGGTGATGATATGTTTTCAGTGTGCTTGAGAAGATTAAACAAACAAGCAGGAAATAAAAAGTTTTGCATCTTAATGCTGAAAAATAGAGCAGAATTGGAATCAGATTCCTTTTGATACCACAGTTTGCCAGGTTGTTAGGTGCCGTCAAGTTGGACCCAACTCATAGCAGTCCCTCCTTGGGTTTCCAAGGTGGTTATCACTACAGAAGTAGATTGCCCAACCTTCCTTCTGAGGAGTGGCTGTGGGTTTGAACTGCCAGCCTTCTAGTTAGCAGTCAAGTGCCTTAGGCACCCCACTAAAAGCTGGACCTCCCAGTGTTTTAGTGACATCCGAAAGGGGACAGAGAAGCATGATGGTTGTGCTGATTTTACACTCTCACTAGCAATGGGAGCTCAATGTTGCTCATTTGGGATGAAAAGGAAGTATGAGATTAGACAGTCGAGAAGGTTCTTTCACATTTTGTGACTTCAGTAGCAGCTAATGATGGACACAGAGGTCTGGAGAACTACTATTAAAAAATGAGCTGATTAAGTTTACAGAAGCCCACAAACTGGTCAAAGCAGCAGTGATAGTGACTAGGAAAAGTGAACCCATTCTTGCAGACATTTCCCTTCATTGAAAAGTAAGTTACTCAAAAGGAGACAACTTAGTTGTCTAACAATAGATGACTAAATATTGAGAAAATTATGGTGTCATTACTTATGAAGTACTGGTATTGTGAATTGCCATCCAGTCAGACCCCATGTGTGCACAGTAACACTGCTCCATAGGAGTTTCAAGTCTGACCTTTCAGCAGCAGATGGCCACGCCTGTCTTTGAGGCCCCTCTGGGTGTGTTTGAACTGCGAACCTAAGTGCCAGTAGTTGAGCACTGAACCATTTGTGCAACCCTGGGATTCTTAAAGCCCAAAACCAAACCCACTGTCCTCGAGTTGATTCCGACTCTTAGGCAGTCATAATTTGAAGACTATTTGCTAATATTGAAAATCCTAATGATACATTGTTAAGATAAAAAAAAGCAGGTTTTAAAATTACATGCACAGAATGATTATAATAATATACAAACCAAAAACTAAAACCCCCAAAACTGTAAAGAAGCACAACAAAATGTTCTTGGTGGTTATGTAAGACTTCCAGAGTTATTGCTCTCTTCCTTTTAGTAAAAAAATTGTTTTCCATATATTGTAATGTGATGATAATAC